GTCTTCGTGAGCAAGATCACAGGGGATGATAAAAATACACACCAGCAGACTCTGTACGTGCACAACACATTCTCACTGGTGTAATAATACGTGCTCAGTACCACGGACACAGCAGAGTGATACTGTCTATACACTGGATATTTAACAAGTACTCAGAATCTTGGCCTACTTAGTAAAATATATGTAATGTAATTTATGAAGACGTCATTTGTCATTCACTTGTATGTTATAGTTATTGATTAATTGATTTTAAAGTTGTACCACCTGGGGTTAGGGTTTTATAGACAAATCACTTGATGGTAAAAGAGCAGACTCAGGTTTGATTCGTGACATCATCAAGATCCTGAACAATAAAAAAGAAGTGATATATTATTTTGTCTCCCTGTCAAACCTTCCTTTCATCTTCTTCACGTTCCCTCTCTCCATCTTGAATTTCTTCTGTTTCTGCTCTTCATCTCTTTAGTTTATTCATCACATCCTCATTCTTTCATCACTCCATCTGTCTGTGTGTGTGTGTGTGTGTGTGTGTGTTATCTCATTATGGTGCGACTGCCTGTGCAGTTGATTAGACTGTCAGAATCACTTTGGCCAAACTCAGCACACAGAGAGAGACAGAGAGAGAGAGTGAGAGAGAGACATCCAGACCACTTTGTCTTCAGCTTCCTGGACTCCTGCTACAAACTGAAACAGTGACAGCTGACGTTCATCAACATGTGCATCATTTAACTGGTGAGAAACTTCATGAATTAACTCGTTTATAATCTGATTCTTTTCTTAAATCTACGCCTCATGAAATTTACACCTTTAGTCATCGTCTCTTGAACTGAGACTACGTAAGAGGACACTGTCTTCTGATAGATAAATGAATTCATCAGCCTACAAATGGACCCTGATCCAGTTTATTTTCCTGCTACTGTCCAGTTGACATGGTCTGTATGGCAGTGAGCCTGTGGTGGCTAATGCTACATAGCTAACATAGCAGGTATGACTGCGAGCCTGTGGTGGCTAATGCTACGTAGCTAATGTTCATGACTCTTCTCTTGTACCAGTGTTACATTATGTTTTAGAATTATCCCAAAAGTGTTTGTTGCTGCTTCACAGAGTTTGAGACTTTTCAAATTAAAACATTTAAACGTGTGTGGACAGTACGAGGTGTTATAGTGTCAATTCAGAGGACAAATCAAATGAGTGGACAGTTTCTGATTTTTTAGTTCAGGCGCATAAAACAGCTTCTTTCTCCCAGAACTTCAACCAATAACAAACTCGGTGTGCCTCCTCAGACAGTCCTCCCTCTTGTCCTCCCTCTCTGTCCTCCCTCCCTGTCCTCCCTCTTGTCCTCCCTCTTGTCTCTCATCAGTGGATGAACAGCTGAAATGAACCAGGTCTTTTTAAAGCTGATGAGTTGAATCATCTGTCAGAGTTTTATCTTTGACTATTCAAACATTTGTTGTCCATAAAACACTGAAGCCTCACGTTTGGTTTTAAAACGTTAAATGTCTCAGAGTCTCCAGAGTTTACAGCTGGACTCACTCAGGCATCTGAACTTGGCCCAACAACAGACTTCATTTCTGGCTGTTGTGTTTGGCCTTTTCCTCACTGTCCAATCAAATACTGCCTGGTCTCCCTCTCTCACCACTCTCACTCTCATTTCATCTTTTGCTGCCCTTCACTGCTCTTGGTTTGAACAGTTTATTTTTCTACTCTTATTTGTTTTGATGCTTTTTTCTTCCCTTCTTCTCACCAGATTCTGGAAATCCTTCAGAACATGGACTCAGAGGACAAAGAGGGAGACAGACTGGAGGAGACGGACAGAAACAGGACAGTGATGAGGTAGAGACATGAGGACAGAGATATGATCATTACATGGAAACTCTGACATGAAAAGAGGAATGACCAGAGATGAAGAGAAAATGACTGAAAAGACAGACGCAGTAAATACTCCTGAATTCATTCACCTCTGCTTTATCCAAAACAAACAGAAATTCCTCTGTTACTACGTCTGTATAGTCTACACTTTTATCCATATTAATGCTGTGCTATCTGCCCTGCTGAAGAGTCTTTTTTCCCATGATTCCTGGCACTTTCAGAGGCTGTGATGGAGGAAGTGAGTGACTCTGAAAAAGCAGCTATCCTCAGTTAAAGTGGCTTTTACTGAAAAATTTAGTATCTGAACTGTGTGTGTGTGTGTGTGTGTGTGTGTGTGTGTGTGTGTGTGTGTGTGTGTGTGTGTGTGCTATATAGAGGGAGTGGGAAACACAGCCTCATGATGTAGATTGTGTGATGATGATGAAGAATGTGGTGAGAATTAAATTTGTTTTCAGACTGAAAGTGTGATGATGTTGATTTAATTTAATTTGATTTGTTTCATTTGATTTGATCAAACTCTGAACTATTGACCAGATGAAATTCAACAGTTTAAAACAGTGTTGGAGTTTCCCTCCCTGGGAACATGGAAACTACTGAGGCTTCCTCTGAGTGAACATCAGTCAGCTGCTGCACCAGAAAATGATGTTCTGTTGTGTGATGAAAACATGAAATATAGTCAGAATGATCACGAGAGAACAACAACATGAATTCATCTGTCAAAACACTGGCTAGAGGACCTTATTTTATTCAACACAGATGAACCTGAGAGAGAGAGAGAGAGAGAGAGAGAGAGAGAGAGAGGAGGCAGGAAAAGACAGAAGTTTGTGTATCTCTGCCACTAACTGAGATGAAACACCTTGGAGGTCAAAGGTCATCCCACCCAGAGTCCAGTCTGAGGCTCACGGCCTGAAGACGTCAGACAGTCGAGAGTGTGTTAAATAAATGGACAGACCCCCTGTGGTGTTCACACACACACACACACACACACACACACACACACACACACACACACACACACACACACACACACACACACACACACACACATACACACACACACACACACACCCCTCTCTTCATGCCCGGTTTGATCCCCTCCTGCTGGGACAGTCAGGGCAGCACACTGGGCTGCGACTCTGTCTTAATGGCTCCATTCATTGACTCATGTCTTTTAAACAGCTCCAAGTGTGAGACTCTGCAGTCGGTCCCCCTGTGCTCAGTGGCTGTGGACAGGAAGCCTGATGTACAGAGCTGCTCAGGGGTCTGAGCATGGAGCAGGTTCAGTCCGAACAAACATGTTGGCACCAACCACATTTGTTGCATGAGTGTGATTCCACCACAGGACCTGGTTCATTATCTGATACAGGATCTGTGTTTGTACTGTGTTCATGTAGCGAGACCAGCACTGTGACTTCATGTAGAACATTGTCAATACTTATTACTATTAACCAGTCATCAGCTGTTGTAAAGACAGTCACACTTTAAGCATCATGGACCAATACATTTGATAACATGAAATCAAATGCAGCTCTATGATGTGACAGAACCCACTGTGACCTTGAGTCTCCATAAACCACAGACAGGTGTGTTTCCACCTGTACACCTGGCCTGTTAGCAGAGACACTGTGACAGCTGCAAACCACACACTGTTCCCCAACACACTCAAATACACACACAGCTGATCTTCACCCGCCTCACCTCTCCTCTGTGTCCCACATAGATGAAGGCACACATGGGCTGGAAGGCACCTGTGCCGCAGGCCAGGAGGTGGGTGCGGTTGTAGGGCTGCAGGAGGCGAACAAAGTTGGAACACTCCGTCTGTAAAACACAGATTAACACACAGATTAAAGATGATTAGGACATGTGTGCAAAGGTAAAATACAGTGTATGTTACATTTTCTGTGATGTCCATGTGAATTAAAGTGTCACACACACACACACACACACACACACGCAGGTTGATTTTCAGGGTATTGAACCACAATGATTTAAGGATTATTGATCCCATATGTTTGTGTAATGAGCTGTATCAGATAGGGTTAGGGTTCCTCAGTGTGCTGTAAAGAACTTGTATCTCTGATACTTGGATTTCAGCCAAAGTGAAACTCTGATGTTTCAGAACAAGTTTCATCGGGTTCTGTGAAACATCAGAAACTTCTGGGTGTAAAGATGTGGTGCAGAATTTGAGGGTTTTGAAGTAAGTTTTGTGGAGATGATGAAGACATGAATTAACTTAACTGAAAGAAACTGAAAGAAATAAAAGAGATTCAACTTGATCATTGACACGGACACTCAAACAAACGAGAGTGAGAACAAAAGAAGTGGGAACGAAGGAAACAAGACATTTCTGTCCAGACAGGAAGCAGAGGGCATGACTACTTCCTGCTTCCTGTCTATAACAGCAGCAGCTGACAGAGGATTGGCCCTGTGTCGTTCTCTCACAGTAACAAGGTCAAACTCATCTGTGACACTGAGAGTCTGGAGTGTGTCTGTTCAAAAAGTGTGTGTGTTCATGTGTGAATACTGAACTGAATAAATCAAAGTGCATTGGTCCATGTGTCTTTGTCTTTTGGTTCATGTTGTCCTCTCCAGATTTCTGCACATGAAGGTGTGGTAGTTTTTTTTGGTGTGTTTTTTACGTTGTGTGTGTGTGGTTAATCTGTCTTTCCGTGTGTGTGTGTGTGAGTGTGTGTGTGTGTGTGTGTGTGTGTGGGCAGCCTGTGTTGCTCTCAGAGTCGCAGTTAGACACTCAAACATTGGTAATGGTTCCTTCAGTGCTCTGCAGATCTGATGTAAACTATGTCAACACACTACCACAAATAGTTTACATCATCATACTGTGCTCATGTCTCTACCCAAACAAATCCAGGCCACTAATAAACTGAACAGAAACACATGATGCATTAAGAACGAGTTCAATAAATCAAAATTTACTTCTAATTATTCATCTGGCTTTGAAACACTTTCCCTGTGTATTTCTATTGAAGAGTAAATCTGGCAGCTGCTTTTTAAACCTCTGGCCTAATTATTTATCCCAGATCACTGTTGGATTTACTCATTGTAGAACTTATGTGCAGTCTACTGGAATCATCTTCTGGACTGAATGAATAGAAATCTGTCTCTCATGTGTTTCCGCTGCTCGGGGAGTCGTCTCAGAGATCTGTGTGTGGCCGCGGAGAGCAAAGGTTTAAAAGAGGAAATATGTCTCTGCTCTCCTGGCCTGGGATTTTGGGTTTTACACATCTGTGTGGTCGTGTCCGAGATGAAGTGGCAGTGAAGGGAGTGGTGTTAAACAGAAAATGAAGTGATCACCAAATCTGTTTTCGTCTCACTGGAGATTTCAGGGAAAACACTTAAACTTCCAGCCAGGACTGAAAATGGAGAGATTTACTCATTGCATAAATATCCAGGGTCAAGGCTGTTTGGTGGAAAAGAATGGAACAATGTTCATTTATCAACCTTTTTCTATCAAGGGAAGGTCGACTGACCACGAATCCTCATTCCCATCAATACCCTGCTGTCCATCCACTCAGTTCAAACTTCCCTCACAAACCACATCTTTTCATTTAAACATCACATCATTGCTACATTCACTCTGAGTGGTTTTTAACATTAACATAAACAAACAGGAACTTTGCCAAGGCCTCTCCTTCACAATGTACAATAGAGATCTGATCCTCCTGATATATATATATATATATATATATATATATACACTTCCCAAATGCTATTATGGATCAAACATGGAGCTAACATGTAGCAAACATGGAGCTAACATGGAGCCAATATGGAGCTAACATGTAGCTAACATGGAGCCAATATGGAGCAAATATGGAGCTAACGTGTAGCAAACATGGAGCTAACATGTAGCAAACATGGAGCTAACATAGAGCCAATATGGAGCTAACATGTAGCTAACATGGAGCCAATATGGAGCAAATACGGAGCTAACGTGTAGCAAACATGGAGCTAACATGGAGCCAATATGGAGCTAACATGTAGCTAACATGGAGCCAATATGGAGCAAACATGGAGCTAACATGTAGCAAACATGGAGCTAACATGGAGCCAATATGGAGCAAACATGGAGCTACAATGAAAAGTTCAGCAGCCAAACATGTGCAGACTGACCCGAGCAGGGAGTGGCAGGTTTGGTCCTGGAGCTGTTTCAAGTATAAAGGGTGAAGCTCAGTAAAGATAGTCAGATTCTGTACTAACAGGAAATGAGGACCAACACAGACACACACACAAATACACACATGAACCAGACTACAATCAACAGGACCTCAAACACAAAAACAATCACAGACACACAAACATCACGGAAACAGTTCAAAGCTGCATAAACGGCTCGTCCAAGTCTTTGGTCTCAGCTGTTTGATCCTCAGAGAAACCAGTTCACTGACTTCAGGACTTCAGCCCTGAACACATTCAGTCATACCAGCTACTCCAACATGTAACCAATCAAAAGAAACCCACAGTCACCTAACTAAGCGTCAGATGTAAGAGCTGAGACCAACATGACCCATATCTCGGCAGCAAGACAAGCCAGAGTCTCTGGCGTCTGCAGCATCTTTTTCTCATTAATATTAAACAGAACACAATAAAGAGCCATGAAGAAGAGCCGCTGTATCATCCCACATAATACTGTATAAACAGTATAAACAGAGAGCTTTACATCCTTTCCAAGATGGACAAGTCAATATGGAGTTAACGAGCCTTGCTTCAGTCCCATTGATGACAATTAATGACTCAATGATTCAAGGACTTAGATTTCAATTTGGCTCTCAAGTAGAAAGTGGACTCTTGTCTCAGAAACCACTCAAAGTGCTTTATAATACCTGCCTCATTCACACACACACTGATGGAACAGCCACCAGTGTAAATCTGGGGTTCAGTGTTGAGCTGGGGATCGAACCACCGACCTTCAGATTCATGGACGACCGCTCTTCCTCCTGAGGCACAGCCTGTAGGTCACATTCACTCCTGCCCTCTCTTACATGACATTAGCTTTGAATCACAGTCAGATCTTCTTACAGTAAATCACCTGAGATATGACTCCTCAACAATCCGAAAACACTGAGTTGCGAAAAAGAACAGTAATATATATATATAATATATATATATATATATATATATATATGTATATATAACATATATATAACTGTCAAGGTTTGCCATGGCAGACACTTTTTGTTCCTTGTGCTCCCCTTTGTCTGTGTCGGTTCGTCTGTTGATCTCTGGGTTTTCCTGGATCTGTTCATGTCTGGTTTGGCCCCGAGCTGATCATGTCTCCTGTTGTCATCCCCTGTGGTCCCTCGTGTTTTGGCCTGTTGTTTAACTTCTTGTGTTTCCCTGTGCTTCCCCAGTGAAAGCTCTTTCATTTAATAAACATTTTGCACCGTGCCCCTGTGTTGGCTGCATTTTGGGTCCAGCCTTACCCGCATAGTGACAGATCGTGACATATAACATACTTATATATTATATAACATATAAAACGTGAGTGTTTTCTAAGCTGCTTCCTTTAAAGCTGAGTTCTGGATACTTTTCAGCAGCTAAAACTACTTTGATAAGAACTTTGTAGACTCAAAATACCTAAGACTGATTCCATGTGGAACTGATCACAGCTCTACTGATCCAAACCAAAGGATTACTGACTCCATCAAGTCTGTTCTCTGAGTAGTAGTCTGAACTCTGTTTAGTTCACATACAGAAACATCTACTCTCTCACTTGTTATATCTGATCTCTGCTCTGAGCTCAGAAGGTTCAGTTCAGCTCAATGTGTTAATGTGTCACAGTTTCAGCTCCTTAAACATGGAGGAAGCAGCTGATGTGATAATCAGTGGAAGGAGAAGATGAAGGAGAAGAATGTGTGAAGATTTCGAGACGGAGCGCGCCTGGCTTATATCACTGAGCCTCCCTGTAATTAATGATGGAGCAGGTCATGAGGTTGTGACTTTGGGAGGAAACTCCATCAGTAACAACATGTTGAAGGTGGGAGACAGTGGTCAGGGGGAGGCTGAAGAGACAGAGCCTTTCATTAAAGACACAACCCTAATTTATTTATCTCATTCTGCTTAATATGGAGCTGTAAACAGACTGAAGACAGACACACAGCTGCAGTGCATTCAGGACAAATGATGGATTATATCTATGTCTCTCTCTCAACCACCACACACACACACACACACACACACACACACACACACACACGCACACACACACACACACACACACACCTTTCACCTTTCCAACCTCAATAACTTTTTATCAAACTCTGTTTCATTTAACAGACACAGAGAGTAAACATATGAGATGTAACATCTGCGTGTGTGTGTGTGTGTGTGTGTGTTTTCTAGATGTCATGGGATACAACAGTAATCCATCTAATTCTAAAAAACCTTTTAAAAACAGAGTGAGAGACGTGAAGGAATGTAGAGTCAAACATCTCTATCTATTACTACACTACTACACACACACACACACACACACACACACACACACACACACTTTAACTTTATGACACCTTTTGGCATAGGTTAGGTAGAGTTACACAGCTTGTTTTAAGATCTGGTTAATAATGCACTGTGACTCCTCCTCTCCACTACAGACAGTACAGTAGCACGCACACACACACACACACACACACACACACACACACACACACACACACACACACACCTAGACGTCATATGAGCCTTGTGAGCAATGTGCAGAGGAAACACCTAATAAAACTGATATAAGAGACCCAAGACACACCTGCCACTTCAAACACTGAGAACTTACACACACACACACACACACACACACACACACACACACACACACACACACACACACACACACACACACACACACACCTTCTAACCTGTTCCAGATGGAGGTGTCAGACTTGAGACTTCTTGCCATGAGCACAAGAAGATTTATAACTCTTAGAACAGTGTGTCTTCATTTTGTGTGTGTGTGTGTGTGTGTGTGTGTGTGTGTGTGTGTGTGTGTGTGTGTGTACCAGTAATTAGCTCCATGTATTCTGAGCAGCTCTAAAATCACAGAAAGCTCCAAATTTGACCAAATTTAAGGATGTCTGAAAACATCAAAGAAAAGAGACTCTTCCTCTTCCTTTATTTATTCCTTCCTTTCTCTACTTTCTGCATTTCTTTGTCATTCCTTCTTTCTTTTGCTCTCTCCTAGTTTAATAGTTTCATCATTGCTCACTTCATCATCTTCATCATCATCTTATGCTAGCAGCTCTGTGAGGCTGTAGTGCTCTGACCTACACACTAACCTCAACACCTGACATTTAGCAGTTTATCATGTGTGTTAGCATGCTAACATTTGCTAATTGTCACAAAACACATGGTACAGCTGGGGCTGATGGGAATCAATAGTTGTGCATGTGTTGGGTCATAAACCAAAGTAATGGACGGACCGAAATTTTTGACCCGATGGTGGCGCTTGAGGAAAGGTTCAGGGATCACAACACACTAAACTGAACCTTCCTCCTGCTGCACCTTCACAACTTCATAATTCCTCCATGTTTATTCTTTAAAACCATCATCATCTCCATCCTGTCCTCTTTCCATTCCCTCCGAGAACTTCCCTCTTTAACAAGCAGCTGAGCTTGTGCGGAGGTAAACATCTCAACCTGCCGACACGTTCTTGGGCGTGGTTCCATTTAGTACAGTATGTTTTTTGTTGTTTGTTTTGTTATTTACATCTTTATTGAATTTAAATGACATTGATACTGGGTTGGTGATACAGCTACTGGTTCTGGTATAGACATTGTGAAACATAGAGCATAAAGAAGAGATTACTGAGCAAAGAAAAACAAACAAATCAAATTCTAACCCACATATAAGGATGTGTGAAATTCAGTTCCCTTCAGTCTATTAAGCATAGACTCATGAGATGGGTTATGATGGGTCACCATGGCATTCAGCCAGTCCTTCAGGTCCGGTGATACAGCAGCTTTCCAATGTGTTAAGATAATTCTGGAGGCTGTAACCAATCCTACCATAGACAGAAAATATCCTTTTTGATACATTTGGTATTTGAGATCTATCCCCTAATAAACACACAGCAGGAGTTTATTTATTATTTACATTATTTAAGGTGATCCAGAATCTCACTCCCCTCTTGTCTCTTGGTCACAATTAGTCCTCCTTTGTTTTCTCTCCTCTCATATTCCTCTCCTCCTCGTTTGTTCCCTCGCCTCCTTCCTTCCTCTGTATTTGGGCTTTTGTTAACAGCATCAGCAGTTCTTCCTTTTCCTCCTTCACAGAACTAATAAAACTGCGATGCTCTTCTGTCCCTGCAGTTCTCTCCTCATTAACACAGACTGTAGATGGAAACTTGAAGGTTTCATTATAATTATGAAGTCATCTTGCTGCTGTAGACTTCACTGGAGAGAAGGTTTACTGGGCTGCTGTACCTGTTCAGAGATGTGGGGGAGCAGAGCGGGAAACTGAAGTGTCAGCACTAAACTGTGTCAGTATGTCTTTTAGTGTAAAGTGCTGGAGGCACATTCTGCCCTTCTCATCACAACATGAGCCATTTGGGGCCTTAAAAGGTTCTTATAGTCCAGCAGAAACATTTAGTATTCTAGTTCTCAACCCCCTCGTCTTAAACTGCAGCCTGATACCCTGAGAGCACAGACCCGTCCCAGGATCCGGATGGTGAGCTGCCAAAGTCTCTGCAAAGAACCAACTAGACAAGCCAGAGGACACAAGTGCCACGGAGAAAGCCCTAACCCTCTCTGTTCTCTTGGCATCAGCACAGAGCTGCTCAACAGCAAAGGTCAACTGAGTCACTTCATCTACGGACACACTGAACTGCCAGAGTTCAAGTTACTGGAAACAGGAATAAGAAAGCAACAGTCAGACCAGGCAAACACATTCAGAAATCAGCAGGCAGACAGGACACTGACCACAGAACCTGTCCCAGGTATTACAGGTAGACAGGAAACAGGTGGTGACGTCTAACAGAGACAATCTTATAAAACTGGCCTCATCTGAAAATGCTGCTTTTGTGTTAATGTTGTTCATGGAAATATGTTAAATCAAACCGGGAGTCACTCACCTGTTCCTTCCCTGTTTCAACACATTCCTCTCTGTTGCCAGGTAACGGAGGCCAGTAGATCTATAAAGACAAAGAGAGAAAGATGGAGGAGCAGAGAGAAGGAAAAAAAAAGTGTGATGATTAACGACCTCATAACTTACAAGACAACCACCTTCTTATATGAACCATTCTTCATATTGCAGAATGTAATTTTCCTGTGGGTTGGGCTTAGATCTGCAATCAAAACATAATAATCAGCACGTGTCGTTACAGTTGAATTATTGTTTCTAAATTGAGCAGATCCTCCACACTGATTAACCACGAGGAGCCACGGACTGTAGGAGTTAACTGGCTTGTAGAACTGAAACCTTGATTGAGGCATGACAGATACATTTATCATCCAGTTATAACAGCAGAAGCTCCAGCCAGTGGATATTAAAGCTTCATCCAAATTACAAAACAACAGTGTTCCCACTCTCTTCCAGTATCTGCAGATCATTTGGATTTGATGGGTCCAAGTTGTGTGATCATGTGTCTCTGAGAAACTGCCTCCAACCCAGTACAGGATGTTAAAGGGATTTCTTTCGTGATGCTCACAGCTTGAAAACAAAGAAATTAAAGATATATTTCTATATATAGATATATAGATATATATATAGATATATAGATATATAGATATACTGTATATGAAAGAAACAATGTCCTGTCACTCCAGATGAGCCACTCTCATCACAGTTGTGGTTTTCATCTGAACTACTTCATTCCCCCATACTTCACCCACACACACCCACCACACACACACACACCCACACAACCGCACACACACCCACACCACACCACAAGCACACCACACGACCACACACAGCACCCAACACACACACAGCTCACACACCCCACACCACACCAAACGTCCACAGCACAACCTCAACACACACCACAATGCACACCAACACATCACCCGAGCACCCAACCACACACACACCCCACACACACACACACACACACACACACACACACACACACACACACACACACACACACACACACACACACACACACACACACACACACACACACTTCTGTTTTGTGTCTAGAAATAAAATCAGACCTTTGGCTGTGAACTAACTCTCCTCCTTACAAGAACATCTGGAGCTTAAGAAGAGAAAACAAGATATAAATAAACCAAACTCTCAGGTTCTCACAGTGAAGATCCAACATGATCAGATCAGGAAAATCCCAAAGTCTTCAGCTCCAATAAGGAGATGAGGTGAATCTGGGATAAGCATGAAATAAAGTTTCTAGTTTTCACTGCCACTAAAGAGGAACGTGTGTCTCTGTGCTGAGCTGCAATGATGTGTGTAATAACCAGAGGTCGTCTCTCTGAGACAATCAGTCTTTGTCTGGTCCAGTAGGAAGCTGGTTCTGTTTTGGCGAACGGGGAGAACAGAAAACAAATGGTTCTGACGTACATTACTGTGTCTGAGTGTGTTCATTGTGTATGGAGAACATGTGTGTGACTCTGTGGTTTGACTATGAAACAGAGACAGATATTGAGACGATGTGAACTGAGTGTAATCTCTTCTTTTACTCTTCACACCCCGAATTTGACGTCAGCAGAAGAATTATGATTTTATCTTAAATCAATATGAATTCATCAGCAGCACAATGACTCACTGTAAATAAGACTGAAATTGTCTGACATATCTTCGTCATCTTAATGTAAAGTCATGTATAAATAAAGGTTGTGACACTGATGAGTCTGGAACGGCATACTTATATGTTTTCATAAAAATAACGCAAAAAAACATCTCTGTCCAGACGAGCGTTTTAGCTCCGTATCAGAAATAATCTAAACCTTCCAAACTAATACACCTGAAAACATATGTCACATGACCATTCACCATTGCTGGTGTAAACAGGAAGCAGATTGTCGACTTTGCAGTTGGTTGCTTCAGTGCAGAAAATACTATGAACAAGGAACAACAATGGCACAATTAAGACCATAGATTTATGGAAGCGTTACTAAAAGTAAACATAGAAGGTGTGAGGTGGTCCTGGCAGAGGATGGTCTGCTTCATACCTACAGAATCAGTGTTTTACTTGTGAAAACTCATCATAAAATAAACTCTACTGCAAACATGTTGTTGATATCCAGCTCCAAACCATGGAGCACCAACCTGCTTTGGTGCTTTTGGCTCACAGTCGCGGGAATCCATTAGAAACAGTCATTTGTTTCATGCCTGACTGAAATGAACGTATAAATGAGGGCCAGTCTCAAGCTTGGCTGGAGCTGGTTCAGATCTCTGAAACAGTTTCTTTGGCAGGATGCTGGATTGATATGAATGTGAGCCTGTTGAAAGGCCTGGCTCTCACACACAGTCTGACCTAAAGCAGCCTGATACTGATACACTGAAATCAGGCCCTACCTCAAACCCCAATGCCAACGGTCATGGCAGTTCTTTATCTTCAGACTCAGTCAGAGCTTCTAACGCCCTGTGAATAAACTGAACCTTCAAAAGTGTCACAGACACAATACTTGAGTGGTTAGCCAAAACCCTGAGCAGATAAAAATCATCATTGTTCACGTTCCAGCTGCTAAACAACCTGGAATGGATCTAAATCCTCATTTTATAACACATCACTTCAGGAATGAGACTCAGCTACTGATTGAATTCAAGACAATATTATACATATATATATATATATATATATATATGTGTGTATGTGTGTGTGTGTGTGTGTGTGTGTGTGTCTGTATGTGTGTGTGTGTGTGTGTGTGTGTGTGTCTGTATGTGTGTGTGTGTGTGTGTGTGTGTGTGTCTGTATGTGTGTGTGTGTGTGTGTGTGTGTGTGTCTGTATGTGTGTGTGTGTGTGTGTGTGTGTGTGTCTGTATGTGTGTGTGTGTGTGTGTGTGTGTGTGTCTGTATGTGTGTGTGTGTGTGTGTGTGTGTGTGTCTGTATGTGTGTGTGTGTGTGTGTGTGTGTGTGTCTGTATGTGTGTGTGTGTGTGTGTGTGTGTGTGTCTGTATGTGTGTGTGTGTGTGTGTGTGTGTGTGTCTGTATGTGTGTGTGTGTGTGTGTGTGTGTGTGTCTGTATGTGTGTGTGTGTGTGTGTGTGTGTGTGTCTGTATGTGTGTGTGTGTGTGTGTGTGTGTGTGTCTGTATGTGTGTGTGTGTGTGTGTGTGTGTGTGTCTGTATGTGTGTGTGTGTGTGTGTGTGTGTGTGTCTGTATGTGTGTGTGTGTGTGTGTGTGTGTGTGTCTGTATGTGTGTGTGTGTGTGTGTGTGTGTGTGTCTGTATGTGTGTGTGTGTGTGTGTGTGTGTGTGTCTGTATGTGTGTGTGTGTATGTGTGTGTGTCACTAAACAAACAGACTTTCCATGCAGTTGATATTGTTTCTGTGAACTAGCTGGGACATGACTGTATGAACTGTAGTGGCGTGTTGTGACACGCTGATGTGAGAACCAACTGTCTCTGCCGTCGGCTCAGTGTTGCTGGCAGACAGATGGAATCATGGGAAGTGATGAGTTTATTTTTGACTGACTCAGAATGCAAAAAGTCACTGAAGAGATGGTTTGAATTTCAACACAACTCTGCTTTTAACAAGAAAACACTTTTTACATTGTTTTACCCTGAGGCCAAAGAGATCACTCCCCAATCATGTTACACTGAGTAGTTCTCCTAAATCACCATGGAAACACAAGATACACCGGAATCACTGCATGTAACCAAACACTGAGTAAAATAAACCAGTTGTTCGAACATGATTAAACACTTCAGAGAGCCTTCGACACGTGTCAACTTCAGTTCCAAAAATAACACTTTCATAATCAAAGATAATATATCAAGTACCACTCCTACTGGTTTACGTTTTAGCCCTCGAAATATTTATTCATTTACATGAACTACATCAGTATTTGTCTTAGTGTTTTCTGGCTAATTATCATTAAGTGCATTGTTCCTCTGGTTCTGGATCCAGTTTAAGGTCTGGGCTCAAACACAATAGACGATTGGATTTAATTCCATCTGACGTGTTTTCAACTGAAGCCTTGTGTTGAGAATTATAACTTACTCCTTTTTATTATTTCACTGCTGTTCCTCAGATTTATAGAGGAAAGATTTTTTATGCCAAATATTGTGAGCTGTGGTGGGCAGAGTCTGAGCCAGTGTAACAGATTTCTCAGAGCTTCACTCTGGTTATGAAAACTTCACGTTTATTAGTATTAACATCATTTTATCAGATACAAAACAACAAGTTTAATGGATGAAAAAAATCATTATTTGCTTGGGAATAATTTAGTGTGTGTTAGAGTGTGTGTTGATAATTAGACAAGTGTGTGTTGATTGACATTTTGGGAATTTCTTTCCAAAGGTGAGATGAGAAGATCCATACACATCTTAGTATGGAACTGGAGCAGGGATTAGCCTAGCTTAGCATAAGGACTAGAAGCAGGGGAACAGCTATCCTAGTTCTACACCTTTACAGCTCATAATTAACCCGTTGTGTCTCATTTGTCAGTGTAAATATCTCTAGTTGTAAATGAACAGATGTCACGCTGATGTTGATCTTCATCCTTCACAAAGTGTTCAAAGCCCCTGAGGTTCAGATTTCATAAAATGATGCAGAGATCAGATCACAACTTTTAAACACTGAAGCTGGTTGTCATAGCAACATTGACTATAATCCCTTATGCCAGGCCTTGTTTGAATTGATTCAGTTCTTTTTCTCCTGCTTTGAGCAGTGGGTTATGGTGAGTTTGGCACATGTGTTCCTGTAAACCTCTATTTCAATGAACTGGCATCACTGACTTCTGGCACTGACACAAACATCAAACCTCAAACAGCCTCAGAGCTGCATGTATGATGTTCAGCCAAGAGAACAGAGAGAGGAGGATGAGCGAGGGATGAAGAGGAGTTAAAGGCTGCATCAGGTGGGTGGCATCTGGCTCTATATGTGCTTAGATCCCCATTCACCCATTCACCCCATTCACTCTGTCAGTGTCTTTGACCCAAGTAGGAGCACAGATACACGCACCCCCCCCCCACACACACACACACACACACCCACCCCCCCCCCCACACACACACACACACACACCCACCCCCCCCCCCACACACACACACACACACACCCACCCCCCCCCCCACACACACACACACACACACCCACCCCCCCCCCCACACACACACACACACACACCCACCCCCCCCCCCACACACACACACACACACACACTTCTCTTTGCTACAGTGGTTGAAGAACATCAGGGATTTCTTTTCTTAGAGACATATTTTTGTTCTGAACCTACTAGGAACCTGGAGCAGTTAATTTGCTGCTCGCCTCCTGCTGGAACCTAATATCTAAATATACTGCGTATTTTCCCAAAACTATTCCTGTACAGATGAAACGAAGTCCTGTTTTAATTTAAATCTGCTCGTTTCCCTGGTGTCGGTGCCCTCCAATAAAAACTCTCTGAAACCTCAAAAGATATAACCCAAAGATACATTAACTCCTAAATCTCATATCTGAATAAATGACATTAAATATGTAACATGAGAGACACTTTTCCATAATTGCTAACATACTGTATCTGCTCTTATTCAAGTCTTAGTGACATGAACCCTGTGATTCTTCTCAAAATGAAGAAACTTTATTTAAACAAAGAAACAATAGCATGATAGCATTCTGACTTTCCCTCCTCTGACTGACAGACTCTCCATCACAGTGTGATCATAATTCATGTCTCATGTCTTTCAGGCAAACTGAAACTTGTAACACTGTGTTTGACAAGGTTCAATGGAAAATTTATACTAAAGGTGGAAACATGAGGTTTGATTTATGACTAGTTGCACTTTTACAGCTGCTCCTGCTCCAGCCAGGGCACAAGATTGTGCAAATGTTTTGGCAAAGGAAGGAAGACATAAAACTTGATTGAAGTGTGGGATTGGAGGTCACTGTTTGCAGATCAAGAGCCAGAGGTGCAAACAGACACAGTAACAACACATCGTACTGCAGGAAGAGTGTGCACCAGTAAGTTTCAGAGAGAAATGATCCGTCAGGAGAAATGAGTTCAACAGGTGTGTAATCCATTGATGATGTAATGTAATCCATTCATCTGAACCTCTGAGCCTCTCTATTTAATATTTTCATCACTGTTTTCTGAATCAATTTCAGTGATGATGCAATAGCACTAATAAAATAAAATGGCTGCTCAGGTTGGAATCACCACATTTATGGTTGATTTATGACAAAGAGTGTTTTAACAGATGTTCTGGATTTGATCAGTGAAACCACTGCAACTGAAATCACAATGGATTGATATATGTAGACTGTACAGTAACTATCCTTATACTGTACATCGATCATCAGAGCAGAACATTTACTTTATTACTGAGTGTGTTGAAGAACCTCACCTCCTTTGACTCACTGCTGGCAGGTCCCAGCAGAAGAGAGTACAGAACGTCTTTCCCTCCCAGGAAAAGGCGGTCACGGTACTCATCCAGGAAGACAGCAGTGAGAGAGAGCTGGCCATGGTGACCACTGAAGACAGATGACCTGTTGGTGGACAGCAGGTCTGCAGAGACAGGAGACAAAAGGATGAGCCATGGTGTCCAAACGAGATGAGAGGAGGAGTCGGAGAGGAAACTGAGGGAGATGATGATGCAGCACAGAGGTGAAGAGATCAGTGAAAGTGAGCTTTATTTTCACAGCACAACTTCAAGACAGACAATAAAACACACAGTGCAACGCAACACAAAGAATCTAATAAACTGCTGCACATGGAACAAGGAAGAAGAAAACAACAGCCTGATGGAAATCAATAAAACTTTATCGTTAGACAAAATTACCTTGATTTGCTCAGCATATGTTCACAGGCTCATGATCAAAGTCTCCAAATTTTAAGTGGGAACATTTCTTTATCCCACACCAAACATCTAATCAGCTTCATTAGTTACAGTTGCACCTGCTCAGTGTCCTCTCGCCACACCTGCACACAGCCACAGCTTTCAGGTAATAACTGTTACACCCTTGAACTACTCATCATATAGTAAATAAAGTCTCCTGCTGCACAATAGATTTATCAGTACCTTATGTATTTGTCTCCAGATAAACTTCTGTTGCTGCTGTTAAACACCATCTCTGTGTATTAAAGTTTCAACCACTGAGTCTATCAACAGAAAAAGAAAAACTATCTTGGTTTGATTTTTAATCTGACATTATCAAGGTCACCATTGGACTCCACAGTGATCTTAAACAAGTTTGTGAAGTGCATGATGTCATCAGGGCACATGCACATATTATACACACACTCTCATATGTGTAAATACACATCAGTGAGAGCAGGATTGTGTGTGTACAAACGTACACACTTGGCTGCAGCTTCAAAGTTTGAAGGTTGATGCAGGAGTGAGACTGAGGTGAATTTATGCACACACACACACACACACACACACACACACACACACACACACACACACACACACACACACACACACCTGCTGCAGCCTCTGTCTACCACAGCTTCAAAATCTTTCACTTTCTGACACAAACACCTTATTTCTGCCTCAACTTTCTCTTTTCTCTCTCTTCTTCTTTATTACCTTGCATCTCCCTCTCTCTCTCTCTCTCTCTCTCTCTCTCTCTCTCTCTCCCTCTGGAATGTCAAACTCTCAGTGGAGGAGTCTTTCAGCTGAAGCAGCTTTCCGTCTATATCTCATCACTTGTCTGTCACGCTCGTTATTCCACTCTCTATTTCACTTGGGCCAATACACACACACACACACACACACACACACACACACAGTGAGAAAGTAGCCTCAATCACTCACCACTCAGCAAGGGTATTGACTGAGTGAAACACAGGGGCCCCATGTACTAGTGACACCTTGTCCATTACTGGGGCCTTGCACACACACACACACACACAAGCACGCACACACGCACACACACACGCACACACACACGCAAACACACACACATATTCAAACAGTTTAACAGCTTCAATCCAGATCACCTGAACCAGTGCAGAGGAAACTTTAACAGTGATGGGGTTACGGTTAGATTAAGTTTAGGGTTAGATAAGAGTTGGATTAGGATCAGATTAATTTTAGAAAGAAGATTTTTAAGCGACACTTTAACACTTCATCATGTTTTGCTACATATATATTGTCTAACAGTGTCTTTCTAGTATCAAATGAAAGCCCTGGAGAAACACTGTCCCCTGCTGAGACCAGTCAGCTTCCAAGCCTGTTACATGTTGTAGACAGTTGACAGTGATATGGGAAATAATTTCATAAGAAAGACAGGATATAAAACTTTAAAACTGCTGGCAAATGAATAACAAGACACAAGCAGCGAGGCATCAGGGAGATACTGCAGGGAGAGAGGGAGCGGGAGAAAGTTGGAAAGAGAAGAGAAGGGGGTCTAACAGCTGGTAAGAGTCAGAAAATAATGAGCAGGAAGAGAGATGGGCAGACAGGGTAGTGATGTCTGATGGATTTATTGTGACTGGTAGAAAAGAAATGAGGGGATGAAGAGAAGAGGATGATGGGAGGGTGAGCTTTAAGCTTTGGAACAGTTTTACATCAGATACTGGAGAGCTGTGCCATCACATGATATTTTCATATCAAGTGTTTTATTTTCTCAGTATAGTCATTCTCTATTGTAGCTTTTGAAAAATGTAAAATGTTCCTGCCTGTTTTTTATGAGAAGCAGATAAAGTTGGATTTTTTCACACTGTATATAAACCAGTAGCTTAAGTAAATTCAGCAGCACAAATCAAACATCAACACTCCTGCACTGACACAGGCAGATACGGAGGAAGGTCTGATTAGTGTTTTCATGACAGCTCCGGATATCTTCATCTGATAACTGTTTACACTCCTTCAGCTGTCTCCACACAGCTGTGGACAGGTCCTGAGATGACCTGAGTGATGAAGAAGGACAAGGACCTGAGTGTGTCCCTGTGTGTGCAGAGGCCTTTAGCAGATACAGGATTTAATGTTCACAACTCTTTGTTTTGGCAGGACAGATTGCAGAAGATGGATACTGGCACCTAACTAGCGTATATCTATCAAAACTATGTAAGCTATGTGTAACTGTCAGTTACGAGGTTGCACTGTGTGACCTAGCTCACTGAAGAATGGGAGATTCACCACATTCATCAGAATCCTCAGAATGACGTTTTAAAAAATTAGCAAGTTTAAACTTTCATAGCTGTGTCTGGTGGTTAAGATCCATACCATGACACCACAAGTCCTGCTTCAACCCCAGTCTGGTTTGTCGGTTAAAAGTGAACCTGTGTCACCACGTGTGTCAAGATCACAGTCATGGTTGAAAGAAACCAGAATTGACTGGAAACAGAAACAAATAGTCTCTGGTGTTAAAGTCTGGGCTACAAGAGTCTTAACTACAAGAGTGTAAACTACTCTTTGTAACTTGAATGTTAATATATGTCATTTTTGGTCATTTCGTTTTTCATGGGAAGATGCTCATATCAACATCATCACTCCTTTACTCTTTGATAAGATCTTTGACGCAGAGCTTTGTCACAGGCTTGATCTACATTTTCAAAGATCCAGTTTCCTCAACTTTTATCATAATGGAGAAGTTATTTATCTGATTCAGGTTCAAGGTTTGTTACTGGTATGATTTGTGTGAGGCACTTTCCCCTTCACATACACAAACTCACAAACACACCAAGGCCTGAAGCAGACTCCTCTGTGATGTCTGTCTACGGTTGTGTCTCATATTGCTCACAGGAACACAGAAATCCAAAAACTAAAATGTAAGCACATAAATACCACACACGCACACACACACACACACACGTGCACACACACACACACGCACGCACACACACACACGCACACACGTGCACACACACACACACGCACGCACACACACACGCACGCGCGCATACACACACACACACGCGCGCAGAGGGGAAAGGTGAGCTAACAGCTTCCATCTGTAGCTTGTTATCACTGCAGCAGCTCATCGCCTCACTGTGACACCACACCACTGTCTCACCTCACACCAACCTCTCTTTCTCCTGCTGTTTATCATCTTCACCTCTCTTCTGTATATCAGTTTAACCTCTCTCTGCATCATGTTCTTCTATTGATCCATCTTTAAATTCCTCTGTGGTGTCTTCACTTTCATCTCTTCGTCCTCCTGTCTCTCTCCCCTTTGTTCCCACATCTTTGTCTTTATCCATCTTATGTCCATCTTTAGACTCTACACATCTACAAAACCTTATAGCATCCAGAGGGAAACTTCAACATCTGTCTCCAATGTGTTTGATTCCCCTAGAGGCAGCAGCTGACTCTACATTGACAAACAACAGCCGTGCCAAACCAAAGCGACACTCGAAAGAGCATTTGGTTTCACTGTACGTGTCAAACCTCAGCGATCACAGCATGTAGTCTAAGCCACTTCAGAGACATCTGTGTGTAATCATACACTTTGTTTGATTTGTTTACATTGGCAGTCAGGCGGAGGCATTGTCCTGGTGTCTGTCAGACATGTGGACTCTGAGTCGCGGCTGCTGTTGAGACACAGTTTGCTTATTTGCATATTTTTGTTTGATCTGTGAGTTTACATGGTCCTTTCATCACCCAAGGACCAATGCAATATAATCAAACCTCTGATTAAAGATAAAAAGAAAAGATCTAGTGTGATGAAACTGAGGACAGCATTATGGCATGAATACAGTTCATTTTTGCCCTCAGCAGGTTTTCTGTTCAGCAAACTTGTATCTGCTCTTTCCATGATGTTTAATTTGATGGTGTCCTGGTTTCCTGCTGGTGTTCAGGTTTCCTCTTGGTGTCCTGGTTTCTTCCCTGTGGTCTGGTATCCTCCTGGTGTCCTGGTTTCTTCCTGGTGGTCTGGTTTTCTCCTGGTGTTCAGGTTTCCTCTTGGTGTTCACGTTTCCTCTTGGTGTCCTGGTTTCTCCTGGTGTTCAGGTTTCCTCTTGGTGTTCAGGTTTCCTCCCGGTTTTCCTGGTTTCCTCCTGGTGGTCTGGTTTTCTTCCTGGTGTTCAGGTTTCTTCCCTGTGGTCTGGTATCCTCCTGGTGTCCTGGTTTCTTCCTGGTGGTCTGGTTTTCTCCTGGTGTTCAGGTTTCCTCTTGGTGTTCACGTTTCCTCCTGGTGTCCTGGTTTCTCCTGGGGTTCAGGTTTCCTCTTGGTGTTCAGGTTTCCTCCCGGTTTTCCTGGTTTCCTCCTGGTGGTCTGGTTTTCTTCCTGGTGTTCAGGTTTCTTCCCTGTGGTCTGGTATCCTCCTGGTGTCCTGGTTTCTTCCTGGTGGTCTGGTTTTCTCCTGGTGTTCAGGTTTCCTCTTGGTGTTCAGGTTTCCTCCCTGTGTCCTAGTTTCCTCCTGGTGGTCTGGTTTTCTTCCTGGTGTTCAGGTTTTCTCTCAGTGTTCAGGTTTCCTCCTGGTGTCCTGGTTTCCTCCCTGTGTCCTGGTTTCCTTCTGGTTGTCTGGTTTTCTTCCTGGTGTTCAGGTTTTCTCTCGGTGTTCAGGTTTCCTCCTGGTGTTCAGGTTTCCTCTTGGTGTCCTAGTTTCCTCCTGGT